GAGATAAAATTGCCAAGAGACATGTGACTGTTCAACATGTTCCTTCTTGTGATCAGCTTGCAGACTTGTTTACTAAACCCTTAAGCTTACAATTCTTCACTCGGCTTCGAAGTTCTCTTGGAGTTTGTGATCTCACCTCGCTTGAATTGAGGGGGGATGTTGGAGATACTCCTCAGTCAGCCCATGCACACGTCCAACCCAGCCATGCACAGCCAAAAGCAGGTCTTGTCCATTTAGAGCCCAATGCAGATATATCTTGTTCACAGCCCAAGTGCATGTTGGCCCAACTGATCAGTCCACAAGAGATGGAAGCTGCAACACGTTCTAGTTGTGCACCTGTGACAGAGTTTGTTACACATAAGACAAACTCAACGGCTATGTGCAGAGATGATGTACCATGTTCCATCTCCACCTTTGATCTTGACAGCATTGGATAGAGATATGTAGGGCTAGGATTATTTCATGTACTAGTCAATCCCTATCCATCTCAGACTAGGTTTTTGTGCATATAAATATGTAAGACATGCCGCAGCTTATGTGTGCGAAAAAGCTCAAAAATATATCAGCCATGGTGAATGCATTTTTCTTCACTTTCTTGTTCTTCAATCTTTTAGTTTTCTTTCATTGCTTAACGGGGGGAAAGGAGCTCTGTTAACTCCACGTTAACTTATGAACAACAATACCATTTAATATGATTTAAACACATGCTAATAGTTCTTTGCAAAATTTATAAACGCAAAAAAAAAAAAAAAAAAGACATGAATTATGAAAAAAACAAGAAGGAAAAATACTTATGAAATTGTTTTGTCAAATAGGATTGTTTGTCGAAAGGAGAAATAATTACCACCATAAAACTTATCTTACTTTAAGATTAAACTGAGCCTAATAAAATGAGATTGTTTGATTTCAATATATTTTTCAAATGATCAGAAAGAATTGAGAAATAAACAAAGTGCCCCATCCCTTGTTGCTGCTACCATAAAGATCAAGTTCAATGGAGATGGCTCAATGTGGCTCGTGTTGTTCGCTTACCTTTTACAACACCTGGATTGCAATGGACGGGATGCCCTTCAATTATCTAATACAATTGCAAATTACATTGTATACAAATCGATTTTTTTTATTCTATTCCATATTTGTGATTCGAATTGGAATACGAACAATGCTTTATATTCGAAAGTTATATGAATTCGGATTCAAATTTGTTGATATTTGATTCGTTTACGATAATTACATAAATCTTATAAATTTATATATAGTTTAAAATTTGTTTATAATATATTGTTATATTCCTAATATTTTTATGATCTAAAAAGTAAAAACATCCAAATTAATAATTTGCCCTAAAAAATATCAAATTGGATAGAAAAACATAAACAATATTTTTGTAATTATAATTTTTTTTAATTATAACATTTTCCTGGGAACGAATTTCGTATTGAATCGAATATGTTGAATATTCTAAATGAATCGGATACGAATAAAAAATGAGTTCGTTTTTCAAATCGAATACGAATTCGAATCCTTGAATATTTTAACAAATTTGAATCGAACATCTTAATATTCGCTTTGATTCGATTCGTTTACAACCCTAGCTGCGAAGACAGATGTTCACGGACAAAACGGGAAACATAATACTACTACATAAAGTACCCCATTTGAATGTGGTTGTTACTGATATATGTTATATTTGATAATGTTCTTCATATGATTTTATTTTTTTATTTTTTTTTTCTTGTTTGATCATGCTAACATATTTTGGAAGCATTATAGAAATTTAATTTTGCATGCATTTTTGACATATTTTGGAACTAAAATATTTGCATGCATTTTGAAATTAAACAATCCCATTTTATGGTGGTAATTATATTTCTTTTGAAAAATAATTTCACTTGACAAAACAATTCCATAAATATTTTTTTGGTTTTTGAGTTTTTTAATAATTCACGTTCATTTTTTTTTATCCTTTTTTTTGCATATATAAAATTGTCCAAAGAATTATATATTAGCAGGTGTATTAGCAATATTAATGTATTGTTGCTCATATGTTAACGTGTGGAGTTAAAAGACTCTTTTCCATGTTAAGCAAGAATGTGCACATTATTCTTAGCTAAACTTTAACGGTTATTTTATTTGCGCCTAAAGAAACCTCATGAACACATACGTCGCAAATACTTAAGTGTGCCAGGGACTTTTGTGAAATACACTCCCCACAAAAACGCGTGAGGTAAAAAGGTAAGACATTTTTTTTTTTTAAAATGGGACATGTGTCCCATTTCTATTGGGCAATGAAATTCATATATCATATTATATAAATTAAATTATCATTCATATATTGTATCAAAAAATAAAAATAAAAATACCAAAATTCATAATTTTTCATTCTCTACAAATAGAGACCACATTTGATATTTTTTGGAACACAATTAATTTATCATTTTGTACAATTAATTTATTTTATTGAAAGATTATGACATAAATTTATAATTAGATGAATATGTTACATAGTAAGATGAACATGTTATAGAGTAAGATGAACATGTCATAGAATAAGATGAAAATGTTACATTTTCACAGATGAAATTTAGATGAACATGTTCTAAGATAAGATGAACGTGTTACATAATAAAATGAATATGTTATAGAATAAGATGAACATGTTACATGATAAAAATGAACATGTTATAGAATAAGATGAACATGTTACATACACAATAAGGTGAACATGTTACATAATAAAATGAACATGTTATAGAATAGGATGAATATGTTACATAATAAAATGAACACGTTATAGAATAAGATGAACATGTTACATACACAATAAGATGAACATGTTACGTAATAAAATGAACATGTTATAGAATAAGATGAACATGTTACATAATAAAATGAACATGCTATAGAATAAGATGAACATGTTACATACACAATAAGGTGAACATGTTATAAAATAAGATGAATATGTATTATTTCAATCTGCAATCTGTAACATGTTTATCATATTTGAAAACATATTCATTTTATTATGTAACATGTTCATTATATGTCAGTATAATAAAATAATTACGAAAAAACAAAAATTAGTTGTGTTAAAAAACCTATCAAATGTTGTCTCTATTTATAGATAATGAAAAAATTATGAATTTTTGTATTTTTATTTTTTTAATATAAATAATTAATGATATTTTAATTTATGTAATATGTCTCATTTTTCAATTAAAAAGGGAAAAATAGGAATATGTACTACACTCTCCAAATTTTCTTGTTTTTGAGGTGAGAGAGGCGCGTGCAAAAATTGCCCTTGGTGTGCCAAGGCACACGGTAGTGCTAGTGCACATATGTACCTTAAAGCAAACATTAACGGTGCTTTTGACACATTTCCCTTATCAATGTTAGTGTTTTCTAGTGAATTAATTCTGACGAGTTTCCCAAAGAATCTTATACAGACATGCTAACAGACCAATTAAACACATTAATATAACCAAGAAAATGGTGAGCTACCAGGCTTCATTAATGTTCTCGAATGGTTAAACAGATCATGAAAACGTTAAAAAAAAAAAAACCTTAGTTTTAATGCCTGCAATTAATGATGTCTGTATTATGTTGACAAAGTGTAATCTTGGAGTGATTGTTAAATGATTAAAATAATCAAACGTAATTATAATTGCTCATCATCTTTATGATCCTAATCTTATGATGATTTTTTTTATTTTATTTTTTATTATTATTTTTTTTTTTTCAAATCTAGTCTATTGAGAATCTCAATGGTCAAATTGGGACATCTTAATTTAAGATTCTAAATCAGTTTACCCAAGAAAATTAAGTCAACCAGAATCTTTACTCCTAAATCACTGAACCATGTTGTAAAATAATCCTACTTTTCTCACGACGTTCCAATTAAGTATATGAAGATTGTTTTTCAGTTGACTTATCAACTAATTTTACTATACAATTTTATTATATCATCTAATTTTTCAGTTAATATTCATTAGTCATCGGCTTTCAACTAAAAATTAATTTACGAGCTATCAATTAACTTATCAACTATCACCTAACTTTTTCAATTAGATTAATCAAATATACCCTTTGACAGGCTAACATGTGAAGCCATAAAAGATCATATTGCTACCATCCATAACTTATTCAACACTATGTTCATGACTCAGAATACTGCAGGCATAAGCTGATAGAAAAATATTGCCTTTAACTCCTATCCTTCTGGGTGTTTCCTCCCAAAAAAAAAAAAAAAAAAAACTGATAGAAAAATATCGATCAAACAACAAAGCTTTAGCACGGTTACTACATAGCAAGAATCGAATCGAATCCTACAAACTATATATCCTAATAATAATCTTAAATACATCCATCGAACAACTATAGATCCCTCCGTAACATCTCGTATATCATCACCATATCACACTAAAGACCGAGTATACATAAGGCTACAAAGCTACTTCTTTGTTCTTTCCTAGTCCATAAACTTCATCCCCAGCAACAGATCAGGAATAAATTGGACAAATAATCAACCAAAACAATAAAGTACTTACGAAAGCATTTGCTGCAATCTTTTATATTTAAAAGATTTTCCCTTAAGAATTCGCAATCTGGGTCTCGGTTGCGATTTCTTTTTCTGTTTTGGGGAAAATTATGAAAATGTTTAATTTCAATTTGCTGTCAACTGTATCGTGAAATGAAATACAGTATATAGAACGCGGTCAGTAACTTACATATATACGAAGTATTAGTAGGCCTTCATAAAGTGCAAGCAAGATAAGAATATTCATTTCAGGAATATATAAACAAATAAATAAACTGAAGAAATAATAACAATTCTTTTTATTCCATCTCCAACCACCAAATTAAAAATTTCAAGAACCTAGAAACAAAGTTCACTGAATCATCCACAGTTCCTAAAAAATTTACCAATGATTGGATTCGCTCGACAGTTGATCGCGAAGGAGTGGAGTCGATGTCAATCCCAGCCCTTTACCACCTTTCTACAGCTTTCCGTTTAGAAAATTATTCCAATTTACAGAACTCTGATCTGTTATTTATATAATAACTATCCTGATTATTTTTTTTAATGAAATACCGCGGTTGAGAAACTACAGAAGTTACGGCATTATACTACTTTACCCGTTGACCGAACAGCAGCCGTTTGACATTCATTCTTCATGTCTGATTCATCGACTGGTTCAACAATCAGTTCCTCAGCCTTTTGAATCCCTTTTGAATTGTACGGAGCTATATTGTGCATCGTAAATTGAAGTGATCCCAATAAGTCGTTCTCGATATATTCATACCTGAAAGACAATCGAGTATATAATTTAACCAAAAAAAAAAAAAATTCAATCGAAAACATATTTAACTCAACTTTAACTCAACTCTACTATCATCAATATTATCAACATAATTAAATAGTATCAATCAATCATTCTTACATATCGCATCAACTTTAATTCACTATTCATTCACTCACATAATCACTTCACCAATCATCTAGCTCATACTTTTACATCAAATCAGCTTTAATTATTTTATATTAAAATTCAAACTTAAATTTCCACTATCAACTAACCATACCACATTTTTCGAAGTTAACTATGGTTAACAAAAAAAAAACAATAAAATCCATATCCAATCAAAAATACTTACAATTTTTTGCAGAGGTCATCAATGACCACAGTCAGATGAATAACTTGCATCTTTATCCCAGTAAAAAAATACTTACATTTTTTTTGCAGAGGTCATCAATGACCACAGTCAGATTAATAACTTGCATCCTTATCCGCATGACTTGTTCGAGCGAATACTCGTCAAAATTCTCCTCAAGAAATTTGGACAGCTTCTCAACGTTGGACTCGAGCTGCTGCTGCTGATCCTCAAACAAGTTCTGCTTTATATCACACTCCACATTCGTCATCTCGCCATTAAGCAAATCATCCCCAAACATGCAGAATGCGAAAGGATACGAATATGAAAGGGTACGTCTCGACATGAAGAGCCTGTAGGGCCCGTTTGATACCCAGCTGAAATCCCTCAAATTCGAGTCCCTAGCCTCGAGCCGCGAAACTTTTACTTTTATCTTCTCCCGCAGCTTGAATTCTTGCTCGGAGGAGTCTATATGAGCCCTGTAACGGTTGTAATAGTGCATGTACCTGTAAAGATCCCGTTTTGCTTGCGCAGCTTTCTTCACGCTGTCTTCTTTATAGCGGCCACAGCTGTGATTCGTGATTTGCGACCACGTATGGTGGTGACCGGTGGCTCCACCACAAAGCCAACTGAAAAGGATGAACAAAATATTCTGATGTGAGTATAATTAATGCTACATCTGGGTTTTTCATTAATGTTTTTTAACATTATCCTTGTTAAGAATTAGTTGATGTTTTTGCTTAAAAGAAACTCCTTCCAATCTTATCTCTAAGATCAATCGTAAAGCAATCTCTTGGTTTTCATTTTACCGTAACTATTAGATCCTCTTTTTTCTTCATATGGAGTAGACGTTAGGGACAGAAGACAACAACATTTTCTTGAGGGGGCGAGAGAGAAAAGTATATATATTTTTTTTTGGTACAAAGAAGGAGGCCACGGGCCTTTATTAAGCTAAAATTCTACGGGGATACGAGACCCCAATAATATCGTGGTTGAGCCATGTGCGAAGTCCCGGAGGAGGGGAGAAGAGTATATATATATATATATATATTTTTTTTTGGCGAAAATGACACATATCTCGATAACGACCAAAAAACAACTATTATCAAAAGCGACATTTTTGCCAAGAGATAGTAAAAGGTGACATTTTGTCCAAAATTCCCAAATTTTGGTGGACAGAAAGTGGGAAACTATTTCTCCACTTCACTCCATTCTCAATGGTAAATTTAATTCGTAAAAATACCAATTCAAAAAAAACATCAGAATAGGAAAAAATCAAATTACCAAACATAAACCAAAAAGAAAAA